AAGAACCTTCTACCAATATTGGAGGCCCCATTTGGAATTTAAAGTTCTTCCCAAATTTGCTCAACTTTGGCCTTTTACAAAAGTCATGTATAAAACCAACAATTTGCTTTTTGGGCAGGTGGAAAATATTATAAATTAATTAAATTAAATTGTTCGAGAGGTGAATGATGCATTCTTTACGAGCGTGAGAAAACTTCTCCCTAACAGACGTGTTTTAAAACCTTCAAGGGAAGCTCGAAAGAGAAAATTCAAAGAAGACAATATTTGCTAGCAATGAGTTTTAGTTGTTACAAATAGTATCATAACAAAACACTAGGCAGTCTACTAGCGAGAACGCAGACTCCCAAATGAATTGTTAGCGGTGGGTTTGGGCTGTTACAAATGGTAACAGAACTAGATACTAGACAGTGTTTTAGCGAGGACGTTGGCCCCTAAAAAAAGTTAATAGTAGTGAGCTTGAGCGGTTATATATGGTATAGAATAAGACACTAATCGATGTCGAAAATGTTGGACCTCTAAAAAAGTAGAAGGAATCGCTCAAAGTGCAAATGCTTTGGTAAACAAATTAAAAGTCATAGCGCTGATTTAGCAACTTTTTCAACATTGATATCCCACAAATCAAAGTCTCTTCCAAACCCCAAAAGAAAGTTGATATATGCCATGCTTATAATGAATAAAAAAACAAAAGAATTATCAACTTTATTTAAATTATTAAATTTCTTTTTTTTTTCTTTTGGTTCGGGATTCGAGTTCTCGATGTTGATGTGAACGAGCCATATGTAGTAGGATAAGATTAATTAAACGTCGAGTTTTTAATACAACTATAAATTAATGTAATTCTTAAATATAAAGCTTAAAAGACAAATTTTCATAATTTTATTAGGTAATAACTTAAATAAATATAATTATTAATTTGAAGTTTTAATTGATTAAGAAAAGGAAAAAAAATTAATAAAAAAGGTGGAGAAATATATAATTTGTTATTCATTTAATTAAAAAAGCTAAATTAACTCTTAAAAATGCAGTCTAATAATGATTAAAAAAGTGTATCATATTTTCTAAATTAATTTCCAAATAATATTTTTTTAATGAATTTTTAAAACAATTAAATTAATATAATTGACTCCAAATAAAGTGGTTGGTCGAAGAAATTACCCATTTGTATGAATAAACTGACTGAGAAGAATATTTTAAACTATAAAAATTAATTAAATAAATAAATAACAGACCGTGTCTTTCTCTCAGCTTGACAGTGAAAAATATCACTCTTTCTCTCTCCTACTTTCTAATATATATTGGAATTCCTTTTATGTAAAATAAAATATTCTAATACCTTTAAATTACAATTTAGTCCCTAAACTTGTATGTTTTATCTATCAGGTCCTTTAAAAATTCATTAGACATTAAAAATAATAATAAAAAAAAAATTGTGACTAATAAATTCATAACTTTTATCAAATATGTTAAAACTTATTGAACCTAAAATCTACACATTGGTTGGAGAGAGGAACGAGTGGCAGCGAGGACGCTCGGCCCCAAAGAATGATGAATTTTGAGATCCCACATTGGTTGGAGAGAGGAACGAGTGGCAGTAAGGACGCTCGGCTCAAAGAAGGGTGGACTGTGAGATCTCACATCAGTTGGAGAGAGGAACGATTGTCAGCGAGGACACTCGGCCCCAAAGAAGGGTGGATTGTGAGATCCCACATCGGTTGGAGAAATAAACAGAGTGTCAGCGAGGACTTTGAGTCCCAAAGAAGGTGATTTGTGAGATCCCACATCGATTGGAGAGAGGAACGAATGCTAGCCAAGACGCTTGGCCCCGAATAAGAGTGGATTGTGAGATCCCATATCGGTTGGAGAGAGAAACGAGTGTCAACGAGGACGCTGAGCCCTGAAGAAGGGTGAATTGTGAGATCCCATATCGGTTGGAGAGAGGAACAAAATCTCAGCGCGGACGCTGAGCCCTAAAGAAAGGTGGATTGAGAGATCTCACATCAATTGAAGAGTGGAACGAAGCACTCTTTATAAGCGTGTGAAAACCTCTTCTTAGCAGACACGTTTCAAAAACTTTGAGAGAAAACTCAAAAAGAACAATATTTATTAGTCATGAGCTTAAACTATTACACTATATGTCAATAACCGCTCAGTTATCAACAAAACAACGTTTCTTTGAAGACAAATTGATTCTTAAATTTGCATGACGCTTGGCTTAGCTCATATACACGTTAACCAAACCAACATATTGTCACCCAAAACAGCTATATATATATATATCAGTTCTTAAGCCATCATCTCAAACTTCATAGCTTTATCATAAGTAAAACAGCAAGCCATGGTGCATTCAGGCTCTTCCATGTTCCTTCTTCTTGCCTCTCTGCTCTCCCTTTCACTTTCAAGCTCAGCTTCAATGGAGCAAAGCTTTGTGCAATGTTTGGCTATGAACTCCCAACAAACCATCCCTCCCTTCTCTGTTTGTGCTCAAAACAATGCTTCATTCTTCACTCTCCTTCAATCAACAGCACAAAACCTTAGATACTTAGATCCATCAGTTCCAAAGCCTGAATTTATCTTCACTCCATTACATGACTCTCATGTCCAAGCAGCCGTAATTTGTTCAAACAAGCTTCGGATACATCTCCGAGTGCGTAGCGGCGGCCATGACTACGAGGGTCTTTCTTATGCTTCCAAAATCGGAACTCCATTCATCATTGTAGACCTCGCGAAACTCCGATCGGTCCAAGTGAATATCCAAGATAACACTGCATGGGTTCAGGCTGGTGCAACGGTTGGTGAAGTTTACTATAGAATCTCACAGAAAAGCAATGTCCATGGCTTCCCTGCTGGCCTTTGCACTAGCTTAGGCATTGGTGGACACATAACAGGAGGTGCATATGGCTCCATGATGCGAAAATATGGCCTTGCTGCTGATAATGTCATCGATGCTCGCATCGTCGACGTTAATGGTAGAATTCTCGATCGATCGACGATGGGAGAGGACTATTTTTGGGCCATTAGAGGTGGTGCTGGAGGCAGCTTTGGGATTATTCTTTGGTGGAAGTTGCAGCTGGTTCCTGTTCCTGAAACTGTGACAGTTTTCACTGTTCCAAAGATCTTGGAGCTAGGTGCCACTCAAATCCTCTACAAATGGCAGCAAATTGCAGACAAGTTAGATGAAGATTTGTTCATTAGAGTCATAATCCAAGCAACCATTGATAAACCCACCAAGAAGAGAACCATTTCAACAGCTTACAATGCTCTTTTTCTTGGTGATTCCAAAAGACTCCTCCAAGTTATGGAAAAAAGCTTCCCTGAATTGGGTTTGACACCAAAAGATTGCATTGAAACGAGTTGGATCAAATCAGTTCTTTACATAGCAGGAGAATCCATTAAAACGCCTCCTGAAGTTCTTCTACAAGGAAAGCCACAATTCAAGAACTATTTCAAAGCAAAATCAGATTTTGTTCAAGTTCCAATTCCAGAAACTGGGCTGGAAGGTCTGTGGAAAAGATTGCTGGTTGAAGACAGCCCTCTTATGATCTTGAACCCTTATGGAGGAATGATGAGCAAGATCTCAGAGAGTGAAATCCCATTCCCACATCGGAAAGGGAACTTATTCAAGATTCAGTATTTAAGCTTATGGCAGGGTGGAAACAGAGATGCTGCAAAACACATTGAATGGATCAGAGAGCTTTATAACTACATGGCTCCATATGTTTCCAAGGCTCCAAGAGCTGCTTATGTGAACTATAGAGATCTTGATTTGGGTATGAACATGAAGAACAACATGAGCTTGGCTGAGGCCAGTGAGTGGGGCAGTAAGTATTTCAAGGACAACTTCAACAGGCTTGTGGAGATTAAGACAAAAGTTGATCCTGATAACTTTTTCTGGCATGAACAGAGCATTCCTTCCTTGGGAAGAACTAAAAAGATCCAAAAGAAGGGGTTCTAACTAAAAAAATCCGATGTGGGATTGAGTTTTTAGTGTTCTAAGAGATTGAATAATGGTTTTTCACCTTTTTTTTTAGGAGTGTTCTTTCTTTTGTGGTTACTTTTCTTACATAAAGAGTGGATTGAGAATATTAGAGAGGTGGGTTTAGAAAGGGCCGATGTGGGATACTACTTTTAATATTAATAGCAAAAGAATAAGAGTAATGGAAGCCATGAACATCAAAAGTTACATGTCTGATTGTGTTAGAATTAATCTCGACGCATTTTCAAAATACATGAATTATATTTAGTTAAATACGTGAATAGTTGGCTACATGAATCACCAAGTATATTGATGAATGTTCAATAAATTGTCTACTCATCTTCTCGTCTTTTAAGCTGTGTTGTGAGTGTCTACTACGTTTCGAACAAGTGTTAGAATTCGAACGCTTTAATATGCTTATTTTGAATGCTGGTTTTCCTTTCCCCACCTTTGTCGGCCTTTATCATATTGCTGCACTACCCTCGTCTGCCCATAACTCCACTAGTATAGATCTAAATTGATCTGAACAAAAGTCCAAATGTAAAGGAAAATTTTAAGATATGGAACAAAAAGAATACAGATATAAAGGTAATGGAAAACAACCAAAAAGATGAAGACAATGTGAAGGAGGAGAGTTAGGTAGAACAGGATGTGACCAGAAAAAAACTATAAGTTCATGAAAAGTTGACCTTATCGATGAAAGCATGGTTGTCGAATCGAAAGAAGAAGAAATAGCGAGCGAGAGAAAGAGGAAAAAAAGAGTGTTGATACTAGCAAACGTAGAACTCCAAAACATTCACTTCTTTTGGGCATCTAAGCCAACGGCAAGTTTTTGGTCGAAGAAACGAAATATAACCAAGTTATATCCTTATTGTCGAAAGTCTAACAACTAGCATGAGACGAATTAAGTCAAAATCGTCTAACAACTAGCATGAGACGAATTAAGTCAAAAATTAAGATACAATTTAGACGCTCACATCCTCTTGTTCCTTGTTTATAAGATAACAAATCCGACAGAAGCCATGCACGAGTACAAGACACCTTTGACATAAAAATCGAGCAAAAATTCTAGAAAATGCACATATAGTTGAGAGGACGAAAATGGAAGCTACTAGGGTAATTTACAAAACTTGCTTCAGATAATGTACTCAGTAAAACAGTACATAAAACTGTACTTATCCTCCCTCTTTAAAGTGTGAACGAAAAATAGACTACAGGCTAAAGATATGCACAAATCCTCAATTTCCTAAATATCTACAGGTGACTCTTCAAAAATTGGTTGTGATAACTCTTACTTGTCCACGCCTCAGAAAGGAAAGCAAATCTCAGCTTACATTGCAAGCAGCAACTTGTAAGATGTTGCATGACAACTCCTTCTGTTTCGGGCTTAATAAAGAAAACCACATCTTTATTAAGTTGACCTCAACATATTGATTCGAAGAGGCTCGACAGCGCACTTTATCTTGAACGATTGTTTCGAAATCGAAAGGGAGAAGGCCTAACAAGGAAGAAACAGTGGCAATTTGAACAGGGAGGCCAGATTTAATGGTAGTGTCCAGGCAAAGAAATGATGATAGATTAGATCTTAAGATTTTAACTCCTCCATTTTCAAAGCCTCCAGCATCCACGCCAAATCTACAATTAAAAGTTGGCAAATTAGATAGCTGGTCAAAAATAAAATTTACATTTCAATGCCTGCTTGAGCAAACAATGATGATACTATTTGTGCACTTCCTCTATAGTATGGTTGTGCATCGACATGTCGGTACATTTCAGGTAGCAAAAGAAAAAAAAAACAGAAGTAACCAAGACAACACAAAGTTCCATATCAATAAGCTATGCATAAATGAGATAAAGTGTCTATGTCAGGTTATAAGCTTCCTTCCATTGGCTGCACAAGTTTCATTTGTAACATGTATTTACTATTTAGAACAAGATTTATTAGCACTACACATGAGAAAAGAATTTGTATTTCCAGAGAGTCGCACTGTTTTACCTCCCAAGTTGACCAAGAAGAATCACAATTGCAAAACCCTTCGTAACTGATGACTTCAATAATTCCATCAGCTGAGGGATAATGTTAGCGAATGTCCAATTCCAGCCCTGTAATTGAAAAACAAACCAGAAGCAGTCTCATTTCCGGATCTCAAGATAAGCGTCATATTCAGATCTCTCAAGATTAAATATCAACAATCACATAATGAATTGGACATTTACATGAATTGCAGTGAAAGGGAAAGTAAAGGATATTATTTCAGGGAAAGTAATCCACTTCAAAACTCGAAGGATATTATTTCAGGGTTACTACCATTGCAAGTAAACATTAGATGGAAGCTTGACGATTATAAACTGAAATAATAGCATGCATGTGACAATTTGGCAGTTTCTTGGGTATCCAATCACTCGTTGAAGAATACCTTAGCTTACATGCAGGTGGACATGGGTCTAGTAAAACCTACAATCATCCACATGAACTTTTTGTTCCTTTTTATAGATACTGAGCATTCATCAAAAACAAAAAATTAAATAATACAAAATGAGCAAACAAAAACAGCACCCCAAAATGGAGCCAAACAAACCAAAAGACCTAATCAAGCTTATAAACACACACAAACAGCTCCACAACGACAGCATAATTGCAATAAACAAAAAGAAAAGAAACAAACAGACATCTTGGCATAAGCCAACACCCTCTTCCCACGACCTCTCTAACCCCCTAAAAATCCACTCATTCATCACTAGCCAAACAAAAAAAAAAGTATAAACGATGACAGATAGATTCCATTCTACATCTATATGAAAGTTGTTAGAGCATCTTTATAGGCTATTTGGTTAGAACAAAAAAAATAATAGTATATATCATGACAAAATCACTTTCTCAATACACTCAACCAGATTCCATCATATCCAAAGAGAATTGCTGAACCAAAAGGTCAGTCCTTAAACCATTGACAGACTAATGTAAGCGAGAGAAAAAGGTGAAGACCAGTACCATGTACCATGCTAGCAGTTCAACCAATGATATGGCATCGGTAACATCACACAATGTTGGATTGAAGAGAAATCGTGGTTCATCATCAGACACCTTGAACTTCTTTAAACAACAAGATGCATCACAGTCCAAATACACTGACGGATGGACCTCTTTACCACTTGAATTTTTACATGGAATCTGGTTAGCTAAATTCCTCTTGAACAAGGATTCCAGATTTAATGAACTAGTTGGATTTTCTAAATCTTCATCCATAATTTCATTTGATATATTCTTCGGAAGTAATTGCAATAGAAACGACACAACCATGGGCATAGACATGCCTTCCTCTGAAAAAGGGCAATTAGCACATTGAACAAACTCTGCTCTGCAATTTCTTTTGAGTGGGGTGAAAGTAGCATCATTTGAAGATCCGACTGTCTCAAGGTGCGTGATTATTGATTTCAAGACAGCCCTCAGATTAGAGTACACTTCCAAACTGAAAAACTGATCTCCACCAATATGTGCAAAAATATGAAGAATTGTTAACATCAACGAAGACTCATACCTGCAGCTTCTTAAAATCCTGTATGATATCTCCCAAAGAAGACCAGTACGATGAACAGCTTTAGAAATTGACGCTAGGATGGAACTTCCCGCAATCAAATAGTCTGTTGATGCTGGTGTAAGTGACAATGTTCTATTTACACTATCGATAGGGATATTGACCCTCAAAACACCTTGCGTTAATGTCTCAAAAGAGGCATCAGTACATGATAGGACTTGTCCATCTATTAGGAAATCTTCCATAAGAGCAAGTAACGCATCCAAACAGAGCAATTTAGTAAACAAGCTTCTTATTGCCACATCAAGCATTGCTGCCAACAGGGAAAAGGTAAAAGAAGACGAAGAAATAGGGTAAATATCATTGATATGAAACCACAAAAAAACATATAAAGAAAATTCATTAATAAATAAATTACTGAGAGAGAAAATAGTAAACCTTCACATATGTGCCCTGAAAAAGAATCCAAGCAGGTATGGCAGTTCAGAAAGTTCCCATATTTATGCACAGCAACAACGGTGAAGTTGAGCAGCAACAAGGAAAAGAATACACAAGTCTTCTCCCTGAAAGTTCATTACTAAACTTTCAATTCTCTTATAGAAAAAGCTACTTCTGAAAATTGAAGGATCTCTCTTATTTTTTGGGGAGGAGGGATCATGAAATAGAAAACATTTTGTTAAAACCAATAATTATTTGTATTTGCCCTGGTACAGAAAACAGAAATGTAAAATATGTAACTTGCAAAGCAAATGAAACACTTACTTTGGTACAAGTTCATGCTCCATGTTAAGGGAAGCCAAAATCTCTTGCACCATCCACTCTTTTTGAGTAATTATAGAGCTCCTCTTTACACAAGCCCTAGTTGCTGAAAATATTTTTAAGATACTGTGACAGTCATTTGAATTAGAGAAAATAACACAAAAATCAGGGTTAGAGTTGCCCAGGGTTCCAGATTTAATTTCCGATGCTCCCACCCCTTCACAACCAGAAAGAGAAACATTTGTCCCAGGCATCCCTACAATGACCCCAACCTGATCAAGACAGTTATTTCCTGCCTGTACAATATCAAAAAGATCATTCTCTTGTCTACCTTGTATTAAACACGGATCTAGTTGGCGTTTACTGCTATGTATATCTCCTAACAAGTCAAAGTCGCAGGACTGGGTATAATTGGACTTAATCTCAACATCGATGACAGTGTAGCTGTGTGTTTTTGGCTGACCTTCTCTTTCATCTGGCAATTCTTTATGGAGTTCATCTACTAGAGGCTCAAATTCATTCAAAGCAGATGTTTCAGCGCCATAAATATAAATATTTGGAAGCGGAGACAGCGGCATTTCAATTGCTCTCCTGTAGCATTCCTCATCAGCAGCACTATCCAAATCTAGCAATTTCATATAGTCCACATTTGCTATATTACCAAAAGTTTCCAAGGTTTGAAGTTCACTTCTGACATAAGTATTAAGTTCCTCAACACATGGCTGACAATTGTCCATAAGCTTGCTGACAGGTTGAGAAGGTTTAATACCAATACTTTTAGGCGCACAAACTTCAGTGTCAACTTTGTTCAACTTCATCTCACTATTATCAAGTAAATGTTGCACCTTTAATTTCTTCTGGCACAAAGCCTTTCTTTTCTTCCGAATTTTCTTATCAGCACAAGAATCTTGAAGCACATTCGATATTACATGTTCACTCTTATCTAAGGGCTTCTCTGTAGGGCTGTTTAAAGCATGCAAAAGAGACAACTTCTCTTCAATCTGAGAATGCATTTTCTTACTCTCATGATATAAATAATCAATGGATTCAACAGTTTCAATGGTTCTTTTTCTCTTTCCTTGTTTTTCATTAGCTCTTCCAATATTATTTTTAATATGACTTCTGACACTATTTCCTGCCATCATGGCAAGGTTTTCATTGCTTTTCATCTTACTAACTTCACTAGATAAGTTGGATATTCTTGGTTGCATGTTGAAGTTCTCTCCAGCCAACTTTGTTGCTGTCAAACGAAAGCCATTTTCCTGTGAGCCGACCAACTGACCATCAGAAAAAGATGCAGTACTGGAATTGACTGCACAACTTTGTAACATTTTTCTGTTAGAGTCTCCAGGAAAGGACTCCAACCTAGATTCAATACCTGATAAAGATGTGATATGATTCCCTACAGACGAAGGAAGCAACGGAGCACCATGATGTGGGGTGGCCTGCCTAAAAGTATCAGGCATCCAGGCTTGGAATGCCTCTATAGCACGTAGATTCTTCTTTGGGTACGATCTTTGCAATTTCTCAGCATTCATTGTCTGTGAACCATTCAACAAAGATTGTTCAGTCAAAAGTAGGTAGAGAATGGTAAGTAACAACAACCCTTGAGGAGTAGAGTCCCCCTTCAAAAATCCCCCTATTCAGCAAGATAATCATGAAATAGCTACATATTTATATGCTAATAAGATTCGATGTTTGTTATTTAATTACCACGGATTAAGCAAATAGGTTGAATAGAAGATGACTATAGCAACTCAATTAAAACTGAACATGCAATCATAAACAACTTTCTTCCACAACTATCGATCAAGACAAAGGTGAAAGGAAATAAAGAAGAAAGCAAGTGAGATTGTGAAAGAATATCAATATCCACGCGCTTCTCAGAAGTTAGGAAGTAAACAAAAAAGGGAAAAAAAAAATCTTTAAGATCATTGATAATATGAAAAAGGTAGATATTTTCTTTTTAGATCAGTTCCATGTGAAGTATAGCAAAACTGTGAATCTAAAGTCAATGTGATTAGCATCTTATTCTTAACTGGCAAGGCTAGCAGAATTAGAGTTACCAGAAAACTGATGATGTGTAGTTTCAACTGTTACCAATAACCAGCCTACACCAATAGGGGAGAAAAGTGGGTAGACCAATCCAACAGAGAAATGACAATAATGTGATGCCATTGTGCCTTTAGAAGTAAGTAAAAATATAACAATCAATATGGCCAATACTGTAGGTACAAAATTAAAGAAAAGGTAACAAACAAGTAATTAAAAAGGAAAATCAACCTTTTCCGAGTCATCATTATCCTTAGTGCCAGTAGAGGAAAATTTATGCAGGTCGTCCAAATGATTTGACAGCTGAACAAATTCTAGCTTAAAACGACCCAGTTCTTGTTGAATAACAGAACGATGATTTTTTTCCAAGTTAGCCACTTGTCTAGCATGTTTTAGTCTCGTCTTCTCAAACTTTAACTTTTTTTTCAAAAGCTTCATTTCTGCACGTTCGGAACTCATAGCATGTTCAAAAGAAACAGCAGATGCATCAGCCAATTTCCTAGAAGACTTGAATCCACGCAAGTTCTTTTGCAATTCCTCAATTTTCCTGTTCTTTTCTTCTAATTCAAGAGACAATTTATCAGCACGGCATTGTTCATCCATGGCCTTCCTGCGATAAATCTCTAAATGGTTTTTCAGTTCTGATGATTTCATCATGTTGGAATTCACCGTCTTCTCCTTCATAATCGCCAGATCTTCATCCATCTTATGCTTTATGTTAACTTCCTTAGCCTTAACATACTCAAAAGCCAACTTCAATTCGTTTTCATTTCTCTGTATCATTTCCAACCAAGGTTTATCATTCTTTTTCACATCCTTACTATTAGTTCTCTTGATGGGTTGACCACAACAAGATTCAATAAATTTTTTCAAGGTCTTGAATTCTTTGACCTGCTTCTGCAATTTCTTAATCTTGCATGTCTTTCTTTCTAATTGCTGAAATAAGTTTTCGGCCTTAGATTTTTCTTCCCCAACCTGCTTCATGGTTACTTCAGTTTGCATCCTTGAAGCCTGTGCTTTAGACATTTCAGAATCTGCACGCTTTTTCTCTTTGAAAGTCCTTTGCTTTTCTATCTCTAGATCTTTCATTACCTCAGTTAGTTTAGAAGTTTTGCTAGCCAACTTTAACTTCGTTTCTTCATATTCTTTTTCTAACATCCCTAGTTGTTGTCGGAATTCATTAACCTTATCCATTTCAGTTTTGTGCAACTTCTTCAAGTCACTAGCCTTACTCCTTTCAATTTTCATAGTTTTCAAAGCTTGAGCAGCTTCCTCCTTCCTCGCTTCAGCATTTTTCCTTTCAGCATCTGTCCTTCTCTTCTCTGTCTCTAGAAGTTCTTTTAGTTGGCTAATTTTCTTCTTACCCTCAGCAACAAGAACATTAAGATGATCTACTTCTCCATGAACATTAACTGCCTCTACATCATTTTGTCTCAATGAAGAAATTTGAGATTTGAGGTCCGAAATTTCCCTCTCTAAGGAGACTCTTATAGCAGATTCTTTGTCTTTGCTCTCTCTCTCAATAGAAGCTCGAGCTTTCTCCTTCTCATATCCTACACCCATTAATTATCAACATTAGAAGTAGAAGAAGAAGAAGATATGAAATAGCATCAACAATGTGTAGCCTTTCTTTTAAAATCCACATGCTCAACAGCTAAACAAAAAGAACTTATCTCCGTTTTTAGGGCAAGGCGCAAGGTGACAAACCAAATTGATGCATATTTCGAGAAGAATAACTCTTTCATTGTATAAAGCTTGAAAACAAATCTACGTCTTAAGTAGAACCACTAAAAACAAAAGAAATAAAGGCAAGGAATTACACACTTGGTGTCCTTCGTCTGTTAATAAACAATTAAGAAAAATGAATCACAGGGAAGAAAAAAAAATTAGACCTAATTGGATGATAAAAATCTACTCCTGTTAGCACAAATTAGAGAAAGATACAAAAATTTCTTGTGTTGGTTAACGTTTGTTTGATTGTTTCAACTAACGATATGTCACATCTCCATTTTAGTGTTGGCAGAAGAACCACAAATTCTACCATGAACAAATATCCTTTCTGCAATACCCAGACCCAGCCTGCTAAAAGAAATCTCATTCTAACAACATATATAAAAGCGGGCAGAGGAAACTCATCATGGTTGGGTTTCTACCCTCTTTAAGATTAAGATTCTCCGCCTGAATCTTCCTGATTTGTTCCTCAAGGAGCTTGACTGCCTGACGTAGAGCAATTCTCTTCTCTTCAAGCTTTGTGTACATATCTTTCCACTGCACCCATAACAACCACAACGAAATGAAGTGAAATACAACCAACAAAGCACAAAAAAGCAAAAGATAAGGAAGAAGAAAGAAATAAAGTCTTACCACTTTACAGCAGGAATTAGACGATTCAGGCTTGGATACAACATCCCCAACCATTGCCAAATGTTCGTAAAAGAAAAAGGGTAAATTAAGAACAATCGAATTGCTACACTCAAACTCTTACAAACCCATAAGCTAAAATTTTTCGAGGAAGTTCTGAAGAATAGCAATATCACAGCTTCAACCAGTAGCATTAGTTCAGTAATCACCCACTCGTTAGTACTGAGTGCAATGAAATCCTATAAAACAAGTTCTTCACACATGGTAGTTTCAAGTTTTTGAATAAAACTTTAGTTGAGGAAGTACTGCCATCAACTTCTCCTCTCCAGCGCAACATTCTCCACTCCATCTCAGATCATCTACGCAGAAGGCATGGTAGTCAGTTAAAAATTGTTCTCTGCAGTAATAAATAAAGCAAGCAAAATTGAACAACAAATTTGCATTAGCTTCTAGGAAAATAGAGTGGCTAAAGAGATTTAAGATAGTTATGTTGTTGAGTAACAGGATTTTTTACCTTATGAAAGTTCTATTTTGCCCTATTTTTCCCCTTTTAAGTAAAAACCCTCATTCTGTTAAAAACCTGGATCTTTTCATTTCACTCTCCCATCTCTCTAGTTTCAATCAAGTATCCTCTCGTCAATAGGTATGGTTTTGCATTGTTGTAGATTTTAGGTTTTCTTACTTTCATTCCATAGTTGAATTAGATTAGGTTCTATTTACTTACATTTTTGTTATATTTTACTTGTATTTTTGTTATATTTCGAGTGATCTTTTTCTTTCTTGTCTATACATAAGGTTTTACATTTTTATTATAGATTTTGGGTTAGATTAGGTTCTCTTTTACTTACATTTTGGTAATGTTGAGGCCAGCTCAAACACTCAGGCCAGGGCGAACAACTTCAATCAGGCTCAACCTTGTCTTTACTTTATGATAAGTTCCTTCAGACACAACATCACATCTCCTTTTTGTCGCCACTCACTCTAAGGCAATTAAGAAGCTTTTCATCTTAGAGTGTGCCTTGCAGTTTGAAAACAATGCTCTCATCTCTATGCAGTTTGATTTTGCAATATTAATATATTTTTTTCTTGTGCAATATCTTTTCTTACAACGTTTTATAATGGCTAACATAATGGCTTCCTTTTTCTCACCACAAAATGCAAGAAAATTCCACAAATTAATTTTACAGTGTTAGAATCTTGTTCAAACCTTTCTCGCTGTGAGAAAGTGCAAAAAAAAAAAATAATAATAATAAATAAATAAAAACATATCTTAATTTTAAGTGGCTGGAATTTTTGGATTAGGAATTAGACCACCTTAAAACTAGTTGCTGTAATTTTACTCGTAGCAACACCTTGAAGTCAATACAAAACCACTCCCCGTAAATTATCCTACAAATCTTATCGACACAGTTTCAAACAAATATGCCCAACCTTGCTTAAAACATAAAGATTAATGAAAAATATCCTACAAATCTCGTAGACACAAAGGTTTAAACAAATATATCCAACATAAATGTCAAAAAATTAACCACAAACAATAATGAATTTTCCTATATGAAGTTCGTTTCCATAAAAAAGGAGGAAAGACACTAGCAAGTCACTACCAATCAACAATGATTCAAAAAGAAATTGCTTCACAAGAACCACCAAACGGGACTTCAAAATTGACCACTTTAAACAACGATAAATGTGACCTGGTAATCCAAAATGGATGTGAAAAAATGAAGGAAAGGACCGACGATACGTTCAGAGGCACTCAATAACAATGAGATATTCCAAAGTACTTCAAATAAAGCAAGAAAGATCAAAAGAAATGTATATCTATATGCAAGAAAATTTTCTATTTTACATTCTGTTTTTTTCTAGCAGCTTCTCATAAGGCCAAAATCTATTTAACCATAAAAAAACAAGTTCAAAGGCACTTAATAACAAATGATGTGTTTGAAATGACTTCAAATAAAGTAAGAAAGATCAAAAGAACAAATAAAAAGCAAGGCAAAATCCCATTTTTTTTTACATTCTGCTTTTCTTTTTTTCTTTTTTTTCTTTTTTTTTCCTCACAACTTCAAGTTAGACCAAAATCTATCAAATAACCATCAAAACACAAGTTTAAAGGCAGTCAAAAACAATGAAATGTTTCAAATAACACAATATAAAGCAAGAAAGATCAAACGAAATAAAAGGATCAACACAAATCCTCATTTTACAATTTTTTTTCCTCACTTCTCACAAGGCAAAAATTTAGCTACTAACAATAAAATAAATAAATAAAATAAAATAAAAACAGGTTCAAAGGCCCAAATGACTTCCAATAAAGCACAGAAGATAAAAAAAAAAAAAAAAATGCAAGGAAAATCTCATTTCACATTTTCTTTTCTCGCTCCCTCCAGCTTTAGAGAGGTCCTCAGCCAAAGATGCATTTACACCAAAAAAGTTGCAGAAATGGAGAAGGTAGAGGGATCGGATTACATGTACAGTCATATTTCAGTCTACATAATTGTGAAATACGAAGATCAAATTATACTTGCTTTTGCAGATATCAAAATATGCAAAGAGCATGTAGATCTAGAACTGAGTCCTACACACGACAATTTGTTAGCAAATTCTAACTTGCCGGAAAATGGAGGGAGACAAATTTTCACTCGCATCTAAAAACAGCTACTAAATATTTGATCCCGAAATTTTGTTCAAACACAGATAGTAATAACAGACAGTAAGCCACTAAAGCTTCCTTAGTTTACATAAGTTCTGTTCCTAAAGGTTCGACAAAAACAGACAAGAAATAGTAGTATCCTACAGAAGCATTCCAAATTTATTGATTATTTAAGAATTAGTGACAAATAATATAAGCTCATATCAATCACTTATCTAATCTCGGTGCATTGCTTCTCTGCAAATGTTTAAAGCCGCTTAATGTACTCACCATCAGTTTCCCCTTTCCTCTGCTCTAGTTCTGCTGGCGCCACAGCCACCTTGCTCTTCCGTTCTCACCATGCATAAGGATCAATGTCGTCTCTGGCACTCGCCGTTTTCTAAAGTTCCCGTCGCCGTCGCCCGGTAATCAGGAGCGGTCATCGTGGCCACGGTTTCAGCATTTGTAGAGTAAGCCGTGGGGCGAAAGTGGAGAAAGAAGACATGGAAATCAGGGTTTCTCTTCAGGGATAAAATAGTAATTTCATAGTATAAACCCCCTTCAGAAATTGGATTTCAATTTAATTTTATAATATATCGGAAATAAAATTTTATTTATTATACATTAAAAATATAGTATAATTATTGTTTTATTGTGTAATATAGCTAGTAATATATTATATTATGTATTTTTTTTACGAAAAAAATAATTTGTATTTATAACATGAAAAATATATTTTTAAAGTCATTGCTTTTTTACATATAATTATACCTTTAAAAAAATTTAATTCAAAATCTAAATAAAAAATAAAAAAATTTTATTTTTCCGAATTTTTCCTATTTAAATCACATAATTTTATTTTACTGTTGATGGCGTGCACTTGTACTCACTCACACACATTTCGACATTTCGATCAGCAATCTTCCTTCTCGTGTTCAGTGAAATAGCTCTCTTATGGCTTCTTCGATTAGCAAGTATAGACCCAGATGCTTTCTAGTCATTTTTGACGTTTTAGTAATAATACTTTTCCTTCATAGTAATTAATGTACTATCCACAATGTTCGAGGCCAAAATGATCAACTGACACTAATGCAAACCAACAAGCCAATTGCCAATGTCGATTTTAGCCTAAATCGACGTCGGTCAACCGACGTACACCTCCTCCGTTCAATACATTTCATTATTCATAAGATACCTAAAACAAAATAAATTTTTTCAACAACCGTTAACTAAGCATATTAAGCGTTTAGATCGACTAATACACATCTCACAACCAAGAGTCAAACCGGTCGACGCTTTCATTTTATCTTGAGCAAAGAACACATAAGAACTACCATAGGAAAACTATACTATATATATTAGAACATATTGATCCATGTTACACAGAGCTATCATGGCAGGATAGAATACAATCCAAGGCACTGGGAAAGCCAAGATTCGGCAGTTTCGCGCCATCCCGACGACAACGCCACACGACATGAACAGAGAGTTAAGCAGTAAATAGGCACAAGAACAAAGAATAATTTTGAGAAAGAGTCACAGTAAGTTGCAGTCATAACCTATATTTACTGATACACTAACACCTGCAGAAGTGGATCATCTTTTTTTCACAGCTACTTTTGAAGGTGGAGGAAATGTTCCAAACACTCTGTCCCATAGTGATGAAGTAATTCCAAAGCCTAGAGTCTGGATCCTGAAGTGATGGCTCAAGTGGTATTTCTGTACAACAAATCAAGCCATTTGCAGATTATTGTAGGAAGATCTATCTATCAAATACTCCACTTTAACATCTAACATCTATGTATTGCAATGTATTTCCAAATGTACGTATGTATATGTGTTACTCGTATAAATATCGATATAAAATTTATTGTCATACAAAAACTACATATAGAAGAGTGTGTGTGAGATCCCACATCAGTTGGAGAGGGGATCGAAGCATTACGTATAAGGGTGTGGACATCTCTTCCTGGCAGACGCGTTTTAAAACCCTGAGGGAAGCCCAGAAGAAAAAGCTCAAAGAGGACAATATTTGCTAGCGGTGAACTTGGGCTGTTACAAATGGTATCAAAACCAAATACTGGACGGTGTACCAACAAGGACACTGGGCCTCCAAGGGGGGTGGATTGTGAGATCGCACGTCGGCTGGAGAGGAGAACGAAGCATTCCGTATAAGGGTGTGGAAACCTCTCTATGGCAAACGTGTTTTAAAACCTTGAGAGGAAGCCCAAAAGGGAAAGCCCAAAGAGGACAATATCTATTGGCAGTGGGCTTGGGCTGTTACAAAAGGTATCAGAGCCAGATACCGGGCGGTGTGCCAGCAAGGACACTAGCCCTCAAGGGGGGTTTGGATTACGAGATCCTACCTCGGTTGGAGCAAAGCATTTCATATAAAGGTGTGGAAACCTCTCTCTGGCAGACGGGTTTGAAAACCTTGAGGGAAAGTCTAGAAGGGAAAATCCAAAGAGGATAATGTTGTTACAGTGTGAGTTTGAACGTAATTTGGATGAACCGAAAGGTGGTTGGTTTCCTTTTGAGGAATTGGGCGCCAATAATAGAGAGTTTTCACATCGGCTTATCATGTGATGCAGATTCTATAACCACATTCCACATCCCACTTCAAACTTTTCGATTCCACGGGAGGACTCCTCTACTCTATTTTGAGAAAGGTATTCTCGTATAACACGTTCTCATATAACAGCACGCGTAATTCCCAGACGACGATAAAATTTTACGTATAGCATAAGCAAACTCCATACTAACCTTAAGGTTTCGTGCCATTTGTCCAGATGGCTGCCCGTGATGAAGGTAGTGATGGGTAACATCATACATCACATAGCCCAGCAACCCACCTCCAACCAAAGCAGGTGTGGTAGATGGGGTAGCAAAAAGCTTGATCAAATTCCAGAACTGGCAAGTCATGAGCAAATAATTAGGATCACAACTAAAGAAACTTGCCAAACCGTGTAAATTTCGACTTGGAAATGCTGAACAATGAACATTGCAAACATAATCTCATTTAACATACTGAAGAACAATTGAAAGAAATCGACATACTGGAAAGAGCAGAATAGCAGTTGCAGCGGGAGGGAAAACGAGTCGTAAGCTATCCATAGGGTGTTTGTGGTGGCAACCATGAAGAAGATAGTGTATGGTGTTTCCCCTGATCATCCAGTTCCAAAATGGTTTGAAAACGAAAACAAAAACCAAAACAAAAAAGAATGTCCGAAGAGCACGAAAAGTTTATCTCTGCAAGCATTTCTTGGCAGTGTTTCGGTTACTAACCAATAGCTCGAGGTCTTGATATGGAAAAGAAACCGATGAAGAGTGTATTCGAGTAATGTCCATACAAAAATTCCAAATACCACCATCAAAGATAATTCTGAAGGAGTATGCCCCATCCTGTAAGACAATGATATGAACCAGCAAACGACCGGTAGCCAAATGGTAGGAATCGCCCACCACGCCGTGCGAGTCAAGAACTGTTTTGTTAAAAAGAAACTTTATTAATCATCTAGACTTAATCTCGACGAGTTCTTGAACTTTGAAGATCTTCAATACCTCCCAGAAATCGCTCTCGAAAAATCGAGGCCCTTCTTTGCTGACAATTGGCTGATGAACCCATTCCTGATAATCTTCCCCAAGATGGCCTACCTGAGAAACAAAATTGGAAAAAGTTAAGTTTCATGGTCATTTCTATCAAAATTCTGAACCAGATTGATTCAAAAGGTCTTTTTCGTTCGAGTGTAACGTTACCTGAAATACGAGCGGCTTATTCAAATTGACGGTGAATCCATGAGCGACCATCTTGGCGTAGATTTAGCTGCAGATAATAGGTATGATTAAATGGAGTAGCTGAAACTGAGACATTGTATAACAATTTAATATCACTGAAGAACAGCAGTCTGATAATGTCTATTCTATTACATCCATGTTGTTGTTGTTGTTCTTCGTATTTGAGTATCAAAGGCCATAGTCTCAAACGCATTCTCAAAGTTTCTTGCCTTTGTCTTTTCAAATTTCAATCAAGAAAAGGGAAAAATAACACAATTAAGCCAAGAAAACGAAAACCCACATCAATCCAGCAGGGGAAATCTCAGGTTTTTCTCAGAATTCAAACATAAATCTGAAGAACTTCCACATGAACTCCATTCTCCAACACCAAAATCCACTCAAAATGAAAATGAAAAACAAGAAGATTCTAAAGCGCCACCCCACAAACAAATCAAAATCGAAAGAAGAAAACATCCCTCGAACCATGGATCTACAAACAAGAACAAGAACAGCCATACGGAGCTAAGAGAAGCAAACAAAACAAAAAAAAAAAACTTGAGAAAACATTCACAAACCGGAAAATGGAAATGTGGGTTCGGCAAAAGAGGCGGCGGCGATGATCCTAGCTAGTGAAAACCACCACGACGGTGGCCACCGCGGAAGGAATGTGAGAGAGTCTACTCCTTTTTTTTTTTTTTTTTTTTTTTTTTTTTTTTTTTTTTTTTT